AGTAGGTGACCTGCTCTATCTGCTGAGCTACAGCCACCGAAGATATTACTGTGGTGTTCCTCCACTCCTGAATAAATGTCAGCAGGAGTCCGAACAGCAAAAGAAGTGCGTATTCTCAGAAAAGTGGTTTCAGGAGGTGAGCTGGGTTCAAAGAAATGATGAACGCACAGAGATGTGGTGCAGAATATGCTGTGAAAATCATTTGTTTGAAGCCAGCTCACCTTATCTTGCATGGGCATGATCCCTCCCTATGTAGCGGAGGGAGTACAAATTGACAGCTTCCCAGGAGCCAAATGGGGCCATGCAGAGATCCTTCTGGATAAAGCAGATATTGACACATCGGTGGAGAAGCTGGTTCTATCCTTCGGCCTGAATAACAGGCGAGGGATAAAAATGCACCAATAACGGAGCTGAAAGGGCGCTGAGGACAGCACAAGAAAAATTCCCCCAAGCTGACTTTTATATCCCAGTGATTAACTTCTCTTCTGCTCTTCCCAAAACAGAACAAGACACATTATTGCACATAAACAATTTCATTACAGGTTTAAAGGAGCACATTCCTGCACTACCTGCGGATAAATTCAGCACGGAATCAGACGATCTTCGCTGGACTGACAAGACTGCAGAGCACATGTTGGATTATTGGAATGATCATGTTAATGGGGCATCTCCATGAAACCAATCGGAGTGACTGATTTTATGCATTTCTGTGCTTGAGGGAGGCTTCAGATGCCATTATGTGAGAGTTTAACCCCAATACAACCCACTAGAGGGTGCTGTAACTCCAATTAAGGGAATTTTCCCCTTCTCTTTACTTTTTTCCTTTTTCCTTCACTTTTTACTTGTATAGGCCCTTTTATGGCCATCCCATTATAAACTCCTGGCCCTGAGGCCTTCCCTAACCTTAACCCCTTAACCCCATGCAGGGACTTTATTCCAGCCCTAAACCTAACCGCCTGGAGCCCCAACCGGACATTGGGCCCTAATTTCAATCCCCATCTTCTTCCAATCCTAAACCTAACCTCTGGGTTCCCTAAGCCCAGCTTCAACCCCCTTATTCGGGACAAGAGGGGACACTTCCCGCCTGGAGAGCAATCTGTGAGTGACGTGGGGGCCCGGGATGGGAACAGGTATGGACTGTGCATGGAGTTTGGCCACCAAAGGTGGCCAAACTCCATGCACAAACATGCACAAACAACAACCAAACAATGCAAACCATGCACAAACAACAACCAAACAACTTGAGCTCCCCCTAACCTGCCCGTGCCGCCTGGCCCCCCACTCGGGTCACCCTATGTCCTCACATTGCAACAACTGAGAGGAAAAGGGGTCCCCAACAAGGGGCATCAGCTGAACTGGACAATAAAAACATGTGCCTTTTGTGTATTTTGATTGTGTACATAGCTCGGAGGATCATTATAAGCTGTGTACATCCATTATTGTTTACAATCTGAAGCCTAATTCCGATTTGATGTTTTTTAACCCACTTATTTATGTTATTATGAGGACTTTTTATGGACAAGCATGATGGGCTCAACATAAAAGAAACTTTTTTGAGGAAGCTCATGTCATGGCAAACTGTTCTATGGGTTATACTCATGACATGATAAGTATGTTTATATGTTTTACAGACTTTGAACGGCCATTTTGCCTCACTACTGTTCATTGGTACGGTCTCATAATGTGGAGATTGATAATTTGTTTTCCAACGGTTCCTGAAAGCAACATGCCTGGGTACGACCAATCAGAACGGTGTTTTATAAAGACCTTTGACCCTAAGCATGAGACTCTTTGTTATTGGTTATTTTAGCTGGGAACTCTAAGCATTATGGGAAATGTGGTCTGATTCACACAACACTGCATGGACTTTCTGTTGAGCACACACCTCCTGCTTCGAAAAAAAAATGAAACCGAAAAAAAATATTGTAACTGAAATAAATGTACTGAAAAATCTTGTATTGGAACTGAAAAAAAAATTGATAGTGAAAAACAATTAATTGAAACTAATTTCTTTGTTTCCGCTTACATTTTTTTTTAATCAGTGTATGCTCTCGCTGTTTGCTGATATCAAACTGGTACGAGGACCACTGTGGGTTAATCTTTGTAGTGATACTCACTCCTTTTTTTTTTATTTAGACCTGGTTTAATTCTGGTATAGTTGAATATTTGTATATAATCCTCGCAGCTGTCAGACTCTATAACAGGGGTCACCAGCCTTTCTTAAAGCTGAGAGTTAGATAAAACTGTGAACAGTTTGGTTCACAGTTATATGGTTCTATCTAGCATATTCTATCTTGATAAGCTGTTTTATCACAGGTTAATTTTTCAAAAATATTAATGATTTAAGCAAGGGAAGGGCTAAATGTCAACATACAACTCTTTATTTCTATTAATCTCTTACTTCATTCCTACCTGATTGACATGTCTAGGAATTATGAGTGATTGGCACACTGTAGTGGTAAAGGTTGCTACAAATCAAATTATGATATGTTAAAGTTAAAACAAAACACAACTGACTGTTTTATATCTAATATATATCATGTAAGTATTCTTATAATTACAAAATGTTTTATTTAAGATTTATGTTTTGTAATTTAAATCTGACATCACAAAAGTGTTTTGGAATTTGAATAATGTATTTGTAACTGCAGTACACATAATACTAATTTTGAACAATTTTGTCCAGGTTCCTTGCCACCTCCTTCAGGACCATCGCGTTCAGTTTCAGAGTCGGTGTGTCCACGGTGTACCAGATCACCCCCCAGGTAGCGACGGCCATCTGGGACTGCGTAGTGGACGACTTCATGGCTGTGCCTTCACCTGGAGACTGGCGGTCCATCACAGAGGGATTCCAGGAGCGCTGGAACTTCCCTCTCTGCTGTGGAGCTCTGGATGGGAAGCACGTCCAGACAAAGGCACCCCATATATCATATAGGAGACACACACACTGATATACACTAAATATTTATTCCATTTCTTTTGTGGTGCCCAAATTTATGCACCTGCTTGATTTTGTTTAAACAATTATTGCACACTTTCTGTAAATCCAGTAAACTTCATTTCACTTCTCAAATATCACTGTGTGTGTCCTGTATGATATATTTAACTGACATTTTTACATACCTGTGGGTGCAGCAGCAGGAGCTCAGGGAGCCAGGAGAAGCAACAGGGGATGCTCTGCTGCAGAATCAGTTGGTTCTATCAATACAGTATTAAATGTTAACAGGTTGAATATAATAATCATAGAGAAAGTATATACAGAGGTCCCTCATTTATTGCAGCAGGGGTTCTCAGAATAACTAGCCCCTCGCCACGCACTTTATACACTTTTTCCCCCCCACACACATGAACATTACTCACAGTACTCACAATTGATTCTCAAAGTGCAAACCTTTGTAGATTGTAAAACGTAAAAGTATTATTATGCCGCGTTTTGTCTTCATCTGCCTGCCACTTTCATGCGCCTCTTTCCCTCCAGGTGCAGGTGTGTATTTCCGAATGAAGGTCATAGTTATGGTTGTTTTTGTGCTGTTTTTTCTATTGGACATGATGGTTATCAAAACCAAAAATGATAAATTTGCCAAGCGCAGGAGACACGACACAGAGGAGATTTGTCAATCAGGCTGCAGAATGCAATGCTGTGCGGTGCAATAAAAAATCAGCGAAAAAGCGAAGCAGTGACGGATGAGCGGGACCACTGTGTGCTGTTTATTAATAAACAATAAAATATATTCCTATATGACAACATGCATAAAAGCAGAACAGTATTTGTATGTCAGTGGGAAAATAGCGGTGGCTTGCTAGCTTTTGTGTGGCTTCCTCGGGTCAGTGAAAACTTTCAAAAGAGAAATGAATGAACTTACCAGGTTGCCC